GACTGAGAAATGGTTTAAGACACATGTTGTAAAGTGGTTGGTAATGACAGCTTTTCAAATTATAATCATAGACGACATTGATGAATATAATGTTGCCAAATGGTTCTAATATTATTGTGAATTCACCGTAATAGCTTCATGTCTTGAATACATGAGCAGAACTTACTTAACAGTTGTGAAAGAGGAGCAAGAAAACTTTCTGTTGAGATTGTTTCTAACTTCCCTGCAACTAAGCTAGTGTTTTATTTTGTTGTAACACTTTCTGGGCCACCTATGTTTAGGAATATTTCGGACATATTCATGTCAAACCACAGTACCATGATGAGCCATGTGTCAGTTCGAGGCATTAAAAGGATCTTGAGGGAGTTGTTTTCACTATTTGTCTCATGTAAAAGTAAATGGCTTCTTTAATATCGTAGACCTAGATGAAATTGCAGTTGTGTGAAGTCACTGTCCATTGATCTTTAGTCCAAGTTCAACTGTTGGACATGTCTCTCCATGTCAATGTTTTTATTCTAAAAAGGCCCCAATCAATTGTTTTCTGCTCCATTATGAAATTGCAAACCACCTCCAAGGTGCTCAATTGATGGTTGTCTATCAGCTTAAGCTGGTAAACATACTGATCATCTGCTTTTGTGCTTCCCCATGTGCTTCATGCCTTGCCTAACATCTGCAAACATCTCTGGTCTTTTGGAATTACCAAGATGTCTATGTGTCACATTTTGACTGACACAATAATTGTTCAAAATTGCCTTTCATCACAATTTCCCAGCATATTACGGAAACTGCCATGCCTTTTCTGAGTTTTATTTTCTTACAAGGTGTTTTATTTACATTTGAATGTGATTACATTTTCTTAAAGTGGCATCCTTTTGTACTCACTGCTTTGCAAGGTAAGCGTTGTTAAGTAAGTAAACTGTGCCAGATGAAGAGGATATCCTAGTTAATTTATCCACTTCTCACGTACTGTATATTATAGAGTTCAAATGCTTTTTAATAGCATATGAAAAGAGAGTACCACTTTAATGAATTTAAATCAAATTTGTACTTTCCTGAGGAAGCTATTTAAATTGAAACAATTATAGTTACTTGATTATATGTTATTGAAGAGCAGCCTTTGAAAATACTTTTGCATAATTTCAAAGGTCTTACTGTAATACAAAAGGAAAGAAAGAGGTTGAACCATAGTAGAATATGCATATACTGTAGCATACTACAGAGAGTTAAGCTTTGGAATGGGGAAAAAACATTGCATTTACATACAGTATATATCATTTTAAAACATTCAGATTGTGTCATTAAATAAAAACATTGAATCTTCTGAAATGAACCATGTTTGTACATAATTTACTGATTAATTTCAAGCAGCCTTGGAACTTTTAAGTACTTTCAAGAGCATAGGCACCTGAGTTATTTTTGTTCAAAGGATAAATCTTTTTACCACAAGATCTTTTCAAATGCTAGCATCTGTATTGAGCCTGAGAAGAAATGTACTGTATCATTTCTAACAAGTGTTGTGGCAATCCTTGGTAAAAAGTAATCCCCTACAGTTACAGATTGTGTGTTTTAGGGATTTTTTTTCAAACTCAACAAGATTTTCAGAGAAATTAATTTAGAAAAGACACTGATCAATGTAGTATGTGTACAGTTATTATGTAAAGTAATACTTTACTTCAATAATAATTAGTAAACAATTTCCCAGAAACTCTCCTAACTTTCCCAACGGTGCTTGTAACAGAAACAATTCACAAAGTTATTTAAGAAAACGGCAGCAATTATTTAACAGACATGTCCTAGGCAATAAGCATGATCTTGCAAGAAGGATAGCAAGTGAGGTCTCAGGACTTATCAATGTTGCACAGTTAGGTTTCCATTAATCACTACATGTGAAGCTTTGTAGCAACTACACACTTCTCCTGGACCTCTTGATCGATTGGTCATTGTGCTGTCGAGTCCACCTGAGGTCCTGCTTCATGTGATTTTCACTTGATAAGCAGTGCATATTGCTTCCTTTCTGTGTTTTCTTTTTTGATTTTCTGTATGCTTGACATTAAACAGGTTATATTACCTTTACCCATCAACTGTCTCACAAGTCAGGTGATTTGGTGTTTATGCAACAATTAGTCACTCATGTGTATCATAGTCAGTTGTGAATGATGAATAAGTCAGAATGCTAAAACTATTAATCAATATATAAAATAGATACTTATTTTTTCTAAAACCACATGTGGTCGGAATTATAAGTTTCTTTTGATGCTCAGTGTATGCCATTTTCAGATGTTTTTTTCTATTTTAAGTTACTTTTTACCACTAGGTCCTAAGAGGTCCAGTAAACAATTTCTAAAGCAATTTGTAGGGAACAGTGTTCACTAATTACTAGTTACTGTCATGCTATTTTCATTGTATGTGGCAAATTATTTTGAAGAATGATGTCCTGACAGACGTTCTCTTGAGTTTTTCTCAAAGTGTCTCCCTGTCAAAAAAGTTTCATAAACACTTGTTGGTTTTAAGGGACAGTCTGGAGGAACTTGCCCTTGCTTTGTGGCTGACAGGGTTCGGTCTGCTACCTACTGAGGCTGATTTAAATGCTTAATGTGTACTCAGGAAAATAAATTTTCTCAAAATTGCCTCGCAGAAGAGAGGGTATTTTTAAGCCCAGTTTATTCTGAGAAAATGACCCCATACATGTCAATTTCGGCCTTATGAATGCTCATCTACTTCAGAGTGCAGAATTTAATTATTAATTTCTACAGATTTCTTATGCTCTTTTTCTTAATCACCTGTGTTTCAGGTGGCATGGTTAGTTACTTTTACTCTGCTTCATTGTTTTAGAGGTTCTTTGATACGTTAAAGGTCATTAATGGATAAAATGCTTGCAGTACTATTTCAGCAGCCTTTAGTTACAGTAGATAGTCTCGATCTTTTTTCTGTACCTAGAATTTCTACCTCAATATTGTGCTGTTTAAAATAAATACTGTTATTTTTACTGATCAATAACTGAAGCAATTCTGATTGGTTTTTGTGTAACAAAAATATTTTTTCTGAAATATGGTACAAAATAAAGCACGCCCTGCAGTGAAATCTTGACCTGAAAAGAAATGCTTTATTGTGAGTCTTCATTCTAAATTTACATATACTTAACCAGTGTTGAGGGCATCAAGTTTTCACAAAAAAAAAAGATTTGGTGTCTCCAAATGAAGAGGTGCTTTGATTTTGTGTTTGATTTATTTGTCTTTATATATTTCTCTGAGGGTTCATTTCCTTTTGCTCAGACAGAACTTCGTTTGTTGAGCATTAAAACCAGCAAGCATTCACTGTGTGGGCTGATGTCACAGTGGCAGGGTAGTCAGGAGCAGGAGAGCCTGCAGCAGAATGGGTTTTGCACTCCTCCTGATGCAGTTGCTGTGGAACAGAGCGACTTGACAGTCATTAGACATTCTCCACACGTACACCAGCCTGTTTCATTGCTCTCTTCCACAGACTGACACTCCCAGTAATTGGACTGTGTCTGTTTTTTGGATTCGTAAGAAAAAAAAACACTGCGTTTTGTGCTTATTTTTAAAATGCCGGTCAATGGCTTGTTAAAAAAGAATGAAATGAGGCATCTAGGCTCATTAAACAAAATGGAGTGCATGTATTTTTTGTGCTTTGTAAATTATTTTACCTGTGCTAGGTTATTTAAATTCTGCTTGTTTGCATTTTCATTTGTTATGAAGATCCTTATTCAGAACTATGAAATTGTATCTAAAAAAACATTCATATTACGGTTTTGAGTAGAAGGAGTTACTGACTTTAAATGGGTGTATTTGGAATGTTGAATTAGGTTCCTTAAAGATGAGTACAATAATTAACATTGTATGGTACAGTATTTGAGAAAGAAATGTCCTGGAAAATTTAGCTGTGCCAGATGAACAATGCAGTATGCATATGAAATCACGCTGGTGAAACAGTGATAGTAAAATACCTAGTGGCCTAATGAAAGTGTCAACTTGGGGTAAATATACCAGGGACATTACTGCAATCTCATGCATTTCTGTATAATCAAGCAATCTCTACTCATATGAAAGCAGGTGCATGGTAAAATCCATAAAATGGTGCTTGTGTGTCAAAATCACTGTGGAAAAGAGTGCATTTTGAAGGAGGCTGTCATACTCAATAGAACTGGCAACCTTCCAGCCACGGGCGGCGCTTCACAGCAGCACTGTGGCTCGTCGTGTAGCGCGCTGGTCTGCGGGCTGTGAGAGTCCGGGTTCAAATCCCCAGGCTAATCTGTGGTCAGTGCTGATCTGGGTTCAAACCCACAAAGAAAGAAACTTTTTTGGGTGGAGTGGTGGCTCTGCTCCTGTGGCTGGAAGGTTGCCAGTTCAAATCCCGCAGCCGGCAGAGGAACCCTACTCCTGCGGGCCCCTGAGCAAGACCCTTAACCCCAACTGCTCCAGGGGTGCTCTACAATGGCTGACCCTGCACTCTGATACCAAGCTTCTCTCCCTGTATGTCTGTCTCATGGAGAGCAAGCTGCGGTATGCGAAAAGACAAATTCCTAATGCAAGAAATTGTACAGGGCTAATAAAGTGATGTTATGTTACAGTATGTGAATGGCTTTTGCTTTCGGGACTGAAAGATTTCAGTGATCTATCGCCGTGAATTGTGTCCATGTAAAGGTCTTGACACAATTAAATATTTTCTTATGTTTTTTACATACTGAGAGGCATTAAAACATAATAAATATTAATGGTTCCAATATTCATTTGTTGCTTTTCTAATGCCTCTCAGTATACAATATGTTACTTGAGCTTTGTTCTTGTTAGAAATATCACAATGTATTATTATATGTCAGAACTGTAATTAGTTCAATCCATATTGTCCGGTAAGCTTCATCATGCAATACAAATAGAGTATCTCTTCAGTTCTGAGGAGTATGTTTAGAAGAACAATGTGCTTATGAGTGCCAGTGGGATGTGCACAGTTTCACAGTTCTGCTCTTGTTCTGTCTTCTTCAGGGTAAGATGGTGAAGGGAATGGGAGGTGCAATGGACTTGGTCGCCAGCGCCGGAACCAAAGTGGTCGTCACTATGGAGCACTCAGCCAAGGTAGAGACTGCTTCTGTGGGTTTCACTTGTGTGTTTTTCTTTCCTGATTCTGGCAGTTGTCTGCGGTTGCCGGTAATTTTTTGCTACCTTGAAAGGCCTTTACTCTCTCTTGCTCCTTTTCCTTTTTGTTCCTTTTTTTGGATTCAGTGCTGCTGAATACAAAAACTCATTTCACCACCAAATGGGAAATGTGTTTTGGCAGATTTTGCAGTCTTGGTTGAGCAATAAAATGGTGAAACATTTTTTTTAATGTAACTTAAAGGAATTAAAGGTCGTTCTAGAAAATTTGCATTTTACACTTATTTGTTAATCAAGTATGAACTGTAAAAAATAAATAAAAACAACAAAATAATTTCAATCAGTATCATTATTGTGATAGGTAAAGACAAAGCAGTTTATCTCTGAAACAGTACAAGAAATCAACTTGAAGTATAAAGTTACTCATTAGTTTTATTTTGCATCCTGTCTAATGATAGTAATTGTCCAGTCAAATTCCCAAGACGGCTTAAATTACACAAAGATTGGAGCCTTACTTGCCTCTGTAGCAAGACAATGTGGGCCCACTGGTAATCTGGCTCATTTACTACAATAATTATGCATACAGATTCTAATTTGAGAATTATTGCAGCTTTTGAAATAAGCAGTGAACCAAATAGGCTATTAATCTCTATCTAGCTGCCTTCTTGAGACTTGCCTTCCAGAATGTGTGGCCTCAGTTTGCATTACTGTGAGCGTTTGAACCTGCTTTAAATTGCTGCAGATATTTTACAGCTGGGATACTGTGACTGGCAGGTGACGTTGAAAGCTAAAAACTGTGCCAGAAGAATTTAAGGGATAAAATAATTTTTAATGGATCTACTTTGAACTAAACACAGTGTTACAAACCCTCTTCTCCTAGTGCTCTTTCATATTGAAATATGTCACCTCAAACATTATCTGGAATTATGCAGTTTACTCACAGCACTACTCCAGTGCCATGTAAATCATACACCATGCTTAATGTTAAGCCAGATATATGTCTCAGGGTCTTTAGCCTCCTGTAAGGATGTGCGCCAGAAGCAGCATGGGTCTGGCTTCAATATTTGAGATAGACTGATAGGTACAGTATACTGCACCTCAGCCCATCCTGGGAGACCACAATAAATGGTTTTTGGGCATTAGCCTCTACATGCACCTGATATAAAGGGCTCTCAAGAACAAAGTGAACTCAAAGAGGTAGGAGAATGAGGAACCTAAGACACCATTTTGAGTCTCCCGTTGAAATGCTAGCCCAACTCAGTCAGAACCTTTTATCATATCTCATAAGCCAAATTAACTGATTGAATATTCTCACGCACATTCATTTATTGAAGAGTTATTGGCATGACAAATGAGTTACAGTATTGACAATGCAAATTGAATTAACACAGCATTTACAATACATAATGTACAGTTGTGATGTGAAACAGAAAGTACACCCTCTTCTATGGTTTTACATATTAATGTTTTACATATTAAGAAGGGTGCTGCTAAACAAGTGCACAGGTGGAAGTGCTTCTACCTGTAAAAAGTCAGATAAACTTTATTACAGAAAGAATTATTGCTGCTCATCAGTCTGGGAAGGGTTATAAAGCCATTTCCAAGCAATATGCTGACTGGACTTTGGTCAGGGCATTACATATATTTGCATAACTCCCAAAATATTGTTGTATGTACAGCAGTATAAGCATGCAAGAATTCTAACATTAACTGGGGCACTTAAGGTTCTGCACAGAAGCCACAACTCCATGCTACAAGCCTGATAGCAACCTCTCAGAACAACACACAATATTTTTAGTGCAGGTCACACACATGTTGCTGCTGCTTCTGCTTCTGGAAATGCTAATTACTCTGTGTGATAGGCCAGCCTTGATTAATGTGCAAATCTGAGACAGGTATTGTAGAAATCAGAAGCATTCTAGCATTCACGGTGTCTTGGGATTCATTTAATGGATAAAGCATCTACCAAGTTTATCCCATTTTTGAGTTACTGTCGATTATTAGCTTTGATGTAAAAGTCAAATTTAAAGTTTTCCGTTTTTAAAAAAGACACAGGTAATACCTGAGGAAGAATCACATACTGTAGCACACAGGGGCTAATGAACCTGTTGGTTCTGTACACTAAAATCAAAGTCTGTATATGAGATACATGTACAGACTCTTTGTGAATCATTGTGAGATCACTCTTTGTGAGATCTTTACATTATGTATTTTCAGAACAAAGCATGTACTGTATGTCTTTAAAATCCACTCTCTTTTGCATCACCCTTTTTTGCTTTCCTGTTAAACAGTAAAATATTTTCTAAAGTTTAGAAACGTTCCCTTGGGGAACAAAATTCATTTTCATTTGTTGTTCACATGGTGAACAACAGAGAATATACTTCCAGTGGAGGGAGGGTGGTGGAACAACTGTAAGTGCTTTGTCAAAAGACTCTTTGAACTTTTCCTGTAAATGGACTGTGCTTTGGTGACTGTATAAATACACTGGCTGTCATTGATTAATTAAGTACTGCTCATTTATATTCTACCCCTGCTTGCCTTATACATACATTAGCATTTTGTCTTTAGCTGTGAGCTGTACTCTATAAATATGGTGTGGCACCGCTCTGCCAGGGGTGCAGGTATCTTTAAATAGGTGAGTCTCAGGAAAACAGACACAGCTCTATGGTAAAATAAATAGTTTACAGTTTAAACTTCAAATACAAGACAAATCTTATTACCTTTATGAGCTCTAATGAAAATCTTTCCTTTTATGCCCTTTCTAGTCACATCAGGACACTAACTATCACTAACTTTCTATCACTAACTGTGGCTGAAAAGCTGATCAACACATTTGTGTTCTTTTGAATTGACTACTGTAATGCTCTCATCGCTGGGGTATCTAAATCTACTCTGAACAAACTGCAGTATAGTATGTCCAAAATTCAGCAGCCAGAATCCTGACCAGGTCTAGTGCAAGTGTTCACATTACTCCTATCCTGGAGTCCTTGCACTGGCTTCTGGTCAAATTCTGTGTGGACTTTAAAATCCTCATGCTAACCTATAAGGCTCTGCATGGCTTGGTACCTGTCTGAACTATTATTGCCCTACTCCCCGCCTCGCAACCTTCGCTCTTCTAATTCTGCTCTCCTTACCATCCCCCAAGCCCGTCTACATTGTATGGGTGACAGGGCCTTCTCCTTTTATGCCCCTAAGCTCTGGAACTCTCTCCCCAAGGATATCAGAGAGTTACTTTCTCTAAACTCCTTCATACCCAGACTCAAAACCCTCTTTTTCAGAAAAGCCTTTACTTAACTGGTTCCATTCTTCACCCCTCTGCTTTTCTTAGTACCACCATCCACAGTCTCCTCTATATATTGTTATTGTGTTTTACCTAGTGTATTCTTCTCATTTATTGTTGTTGTCATCCTGTAAAGTGCTTTGAGAAGCCACCTTTAAAGGCGCTATATAAAATAAAGTTTATTATTATTATTATTATTACCAAATCTCAAACACTTCCCATAATTCACACTCTGATATCCACCTTCTCATTGGTCTGTCGGTCTTTTCCTCACTCACTTCATCCCTCTGGCGTGAGTGTAAGAAAGACTCTGCTCTTTTTCTTCACAGCAGAGGTCAACAGCCACTGGAAGCCTCCGCTTCCTGGCTTTTACCTGTCACCTAACCAATCATCTTATTCCTGTTGGTCAGGTGACTGAGGGTCCAAGTCCTATAACTTTCTGTTGAATGCAGTTCAGACTAGATCTGGTCTGAATGCTGCAAGAGGGGCACTTGGTCCACTTAGTAGGACAACTGTCAAAACAATATCTGTGCCCGATTCTTACCTTTTTTTCAGAATTATGTGGTTGGGCAAAACTTCCTACTTTATCAATGTATTTTTTTACTGTCATTCTTTCACACTTGCAGTGGATGTTTTAAGATGAATCACTTTATACACATCATGCTGTATAGTTTTCAGTAAGGTGTTTAAAAAGCAAAGGTTAAAAAAAAGATAAAAAGCCAGAGGCAGTGTTTAGTTTAAAAGTGCAGGCTTAAATGTTCAAACATGCTTTCAGCACTTTGTTTCCTAGCCTCTTTCAGCTCTCCAGTTTCCCTGTTTATTTATAGGCTTCTTCTGTCTGCAATCTGTATCTTCTCCAAGGAAGATAAAACATAATATCTAGTGCTGTAGTTTCAGTATCTGTATCTACAGTATATATCTCAGTATCCTGTGAGTTTGGAGATGCATTTTGAGTATATAACCGACTGTGTAACTTTACAGGATAGTTTCAAGATGTTCTAACAATGTGCTGTGGAAGACAAATATTGAAGCAAATAATATTTCAACATTCATTGGAATTAGGTTTATTTTTAATTTTCCAACAGGCATCCTGATAAGATGCCTGTATTTTTATCTAGCCATTGCTGAAAAAACCTTTCTAAAAGCTGCATTCTGTCACATTTATGGAATGCATACCCATAATATTATGTATATATTCTTTTTTATTTTCAGGGTGGTGGACATAAAATCTTGGAGAAGTGCAATTTGCCACTAACTGGAAAACAGTGTGTGGATCGGATCATCACGGAAAAGGTGACAGATATTTTCATTGTTTGCAAATCATGCTGAAAATTGGACAGAAAGATTTTATTCTGCTTAGGCCAGTAGAAGAAACACAAAGTGAGTCACAACAGCAAGGGACTACAGTAAAACTATAGCTACACTTTAAGCTTTATATACTGTGCAGGATCTGTGTAGTTTTGTGAAACAGCATATATCTTAGCTAAATTTTTAGTAATTTATCTCCTTTGAATGCTAAATGAACTTTTCTGACTTTTATTTTGCAATTAGTGCCAATTTCATCCATCTATCTTCAGTCATCGCTTTTTTCCTTAGAGGGTTGTGGTGAGCCAGAACCTAACTTGGCAGGCAAGGGCACAAAGTAGGACAATTACTGCTCATTTTTCAGAAATAAAATACTAAAGACTGTGAGCCTGCATTACAGAATTTCAATACTCCCCTTCAAGGCTCTGTAACAACTGCCACATTTGCAGACCACCCTTGTTTTAATCATACATTTCTGTGTTTCTATCAGCTGCTTATTTAGGATCAAAATGAATAAGCAGCAGAAAAAAAAAAACATTTCAAGTAATCAATAGGTCAACTTTGTCAATCCTCTGTGTCCACTGAGACCGTTTTCCTTTTAGAATATCCTCAGTGGTGTAATCATTGCCTAGCTTTGGGATTTCAAGCGAGAGCAAAAGAATAATTATATAAATTTAAGAAAAATACAAAATATTTAATCCTTTAAGAAGCTCAGCAGTAGAATGTAAACAACTGCACAAGCCAGGATAATACAAAGCAAGTGCAACATTTGACTCAATAATAGTTTTCATATATTTTTGTTTTTAATCTCGACCATTTCCTTATTCAAATGTATTTTTTTCAGGCTCCAACATTATTGTATTTAGGAAAACTACATTGTATTAGTGGTGGCACAGTGGCGCAGTGGTTCACATTGCTGCCTTGCAGCCTTTCAGGGTTGGGGCTATCTGTGTGGAATTTGTACTGTATGTTTTCCCTGTCTTCTCATGGATTTTGTAAGGGGTTCCAGTTTCCTCCAACAAGTCCAAAGACATACTGATTGTTTAATTGGTTCCTGGGAAAACTGATCTTCAGTGAGTGAGGGCATTTTTGTGTCTGTGTGTGTCCTCCAAGGGACTGGTGTCCCATCCAGGGTGTATCCTGCCTTGTGTGTACTGCTTTTTGGGACCAGGTCTGGTTCCTCCGTGACCCTGTATTGTACAAGGCGATTAGATAATGAATGCGTGGAAATAGTATTAGTGGCTCTTTTTGTAAGGTACTGTATGTAGCACAAGATGATCACTTGGACCCATTATTATCTTAACTCTATTATTCTTTTCTTCTCTCAATAATCTTAATACCAATTATACCCAGTTTATCTATTGTGTATTTTATCAGACCCTGATTTTTCTTCCTGTGTATCAAACCAAATGATAATTGCAATAGAACATCTCCATGAAAGTGATTGATAAGCACACATTACATCAGCAGATTCACAAAGGAAGTGTGAGATATACTGTACCCCTTCCTTCCCTGATATCGTATGTTGTAGGGCTGGCCTTTTCTCTTTTAAAATACTAAGAGTATCTTAGGTTTCCATTAGAGAAAATAATTATACTTTGCACTGGGAGTTCTGATAAAATGCATTAAAAATTTGGAAGTCAAGGTAGGATAAAGCAGGAAAAATCATAAAGGGGAGAATATTCAAATGAAGATCATGAGGTTGTGATTATAATAAGGTTTCCAGCGCTGCTCCTTTAGCACTACTGATTTAAAGATAAATACAGGTTAGTTCAAAGTTTCTACATGTTAGTTCTGTAATATTTACAGTCTTTTCAGATTATTTCTAGGTAATTTCATAATTTGGTATGAAATCACCCAGCCAGTTATCACCATTACAGAATGAGGTGGGCACAGCAGAAGCACAAAGTAGCACAAATTCGATTTTTCTTTACCTAGGCTTAATTAATTAAATATACATTCTTTGCAGACACAGCTTCATGGTCTTGGAAGTTTTACAGATGGCTGATTGTTGCATTAGCAGTGCTTATGATATGAATTTAAATTGATATTAGCCAATTTAAATTTGGTTATTTTTAACATATTTTATTTGTTGTTTTGTTAATATATTGTAAGTGCAACAAATTTAATGACTGATTCAAACAGGCATATTTCGTTTACAAAATTAAGAAATGGTGTTACAGTACATTAATTACAGACAAATGAAAACAACACAAAATTCAGCAAAATAATATTTACATATCAGCTGGATACATACGATTCTAAGATATGTATTGATGTTTCTTGAATGCAAGTAGCATTACCAAAACCATTTTTATTTTTGAAATGGTTGTCCTTGGTTATTATAAAATTTTGACAAGCTGTAGGGAAAAACATACTGTTGTGCTTGATTGCACTATACCTGCTCAGCAGACAGACAGCGAGATGTGATTTCCACAGAAATTATTCTGTCAACATTTGTAAGTGTTAAATTCCATCCCTCCATCATACTTTCTGAAAAAGTCATAAATCCCTGCAAGCAAACTGCTTTTACTTACATTGAACATAATGGCAATTGGATCTCTCTCTAAAGCAGACCTAAGACTTCAAAACATCTGAGGACTTATGCTTAACCAAGCAATATTCCTTATTTTCTATTTTATGTAAGAGCATTGACAGATACAAGTAATTAATTTAATCCTGAACATGCCACTGATTAGGAATTCTCAAAAAATACGTTATTGCATTAAATGTGCTTCAGTGTGGCTCAAATAAATTAAAAAGACGAAATTAATTATTATGTTGTAAATGAAAGAGAAAAGATCGAAGGAGCAAATGCTTTATTTGCCACTTCCAATAACAGCAGTTCAAGTTTCTCTTACCACTGAGATGGTCACTGGATTGAAACTGCTCTTGAGTTTTAAAAGATCATGAATACAGTAACCGATAACAAAGGCAATCTCATAGAATCTGTAAGGACATGCATGTAAAATAGCTGCACTATACATATAATACATACTTTAAATATAATGATCATGTAAAGTGAAATAGTTAACATTTTTGTTGTCATATTCTCTCCTAGTAGCCTTCATGACATAGAATATCATGAGAAATATTTTCCAAAAATTAAACTCAACAGCTGCAGAGGTGATGATCTCTTAATGTTAGATATCTTTCCCTCCCACATTGATGATCAAATTAATTAGGGCAGCATTGTAGGTTGCCATTTAATGTTGCTGTCACACAGCTCTAGGGTCCGATTCCAGTCTTGGGCATGTGTCTTATATGGCCCTGCTTTTTAGGGCAGAAATGCAGATGATTTTTGCATTGATGATGGTTTGATCTCCTAAGTGCAAAACACAAGGAAAAAATGTATAATTAAAGACTTGTAACAACACAGAAAACCACTAATTAATATGTTTTTACTTTGTTAGTGTTAAGAAACAGGTTTGACAATAACAAATAAATAATAATAAATAAAGATGTGGAATAATAAATAATTATGAATTTAAAAAACGTATTTACAGTGTAAGTGTTTATACCTAGTAATTGCAGAATGGTGCTCTTAACATACTGTACCACATGCACAGCTGGCAGTATTTTCCATACTTTGTCATTTAGGAGCTAATTTTGAATGAGTGTGACTGTGTTAAAGAAAAAATAATGTCTAAACAAATGCAGTTTCTCTTCTATCAACATCTGTTGATCCTAATAGCAAGTATTAAAATAATCACAGTAGTTGTAAATTGTTCTGTATTTTATTTGTGAGGAAGTACCTCTGGGGTTCTGTTCATCATAAATTCTGAAAGTAAAAATTATTTTTAAAGTTTCATTTTTAAAGACAATTTATAGCAGGTTTATGTCACGTCCTTATTTTTCAAATGCCAAGCAGTGTGTCAGTGTCTTTAGTCACAGGTTTCAATTTAATTAAAATATGATTCATTTCTGAATAATAACGCTGGAACAAATAAATCCAGTCCCTGTACAACTTGGCTACAGTTGGCATCAATGCTTAATATTTTAATAATGTGATCAAGTCATCTTTGTTTATGTCTTAATTAAAAATGCCAAACATTGCTATTCTGTTTAGTCCTCATAAAAGCAGTATTCAGTTCAGTAGCAGTGGTTTCAGCTATATAAATTCTACCGCCAACTAAAGAACTTTAATTCCTCTTGCCTGCACAAATAAAACCATTCTGAATTTTAAATTACAAACACAGCTGTCAGCTCCTTCATAGTGAATGTAAAGTGAACAAATTATATATTATTTTTAAACTAATACTATTGATATACTCTAATAATATATAATAAAATAATATAATAATTGCTTACACTTATATAGCAATTTTCTGGACACTCCACTCAAAGCGCTTTACAGGTAATGGGGACTCCCCTCCACCACCTGCAGCATCCACCTGGATGATGCGACGGCAGCCATAGTGCGCCAGAACATTCACCACACATCAGCTATCAGTGGGGAGGAGAGCAGAGTAATGAAGCCAGTTAATATATGGAGATTATTAGGAGGATGATTGGTAAGGGCCGATGGGAAATTTGGCCAGGACAATGGTGTTATACCCCTACTCTTTTCAAGAAACACCCTGGGATTTTTAATGACCATAGAGAGTCAGGACCTCGGTTTTACGTTTCATCTGAAGGACGGCACCTGTTTACAGTATAGTGTCCCCATCACTATATTGGGTCATTAGGACCCATATGGACCACAGGGTAAGCGCCCCATGCTCTTCCAGCAGCAACCTTAGTTTTTCCCAGGAACCAGGGACCAGGCTCACACCTGCTTAGCTTCAGAGGGTTGCCAGTTGTGAGTTGCAGAGTGATATGGCTGCTGGTAGTATTACATACAGTAATATACTCTATACAGTAGATACCAATATGTTTTCAATCCATTGCTGTTGTTTTATTAACTTTTGTCTCTATTAAAATAATTTGCTAAAATGTTGGGTATGATGCAGTTGTCCCAGGAAGACAATGCCCTGAGAATTTTTTAATCAATATTTTTCAGATCAAACAAGTTTACTGTCATGACTCTTATGTTACAACGGGAAGGACAAAGATGCATACTGTATGTTAAATGTTCCAAACTGTTGGGCCATAATCCTTTTTTCACTTTTAACCTCACAGTGTGTACAGATGAGTAACAAGAACACTGGTGTCGGTCTCACTGATAGCACTACAAGTTCATAGGCAAGAAAGGATTTTGCAACTAGATTGAACCCATGTGCCATCAACAGTGCTAAGTCATTAGTGAATCCTTGTCACACCAAGATGTGAACTGGTTGATCTGGAAAAAAAGTTTAAAGCTTGCAATTGAACTCGGCTTGATTTTTATTGTACGCCAGAGCAGGAATTAAATGGTATTGAGCCATTTAATCAAAATGGCCATTTCAGTATTCTTTTCAGTATAAAACAAAATATTATGTTCATCTTAAAAATAATATATTTGTAAAAAATAGTATCTTTAACCATTTTGTTTTTTGTTTAGTTAGGAATTCCCAAATATCAAAGTAACAGAATGTTTATCTGAAGTTCTAACCCTTTGTAACTTCACAGGCTGTCTTCGATGTGGAGAAAGAGAAAGGACTCACCCTCATCGAGATTTGGGAAGGACTGACAGTGGATGACATCAAGAAATGCACAGGCACAGATTTTGCAGTTAGTGACATTTATTTTTGGTTTAAAAAATAGTTTGATTACTATGCACCACATATACGATCACATTTCAACATTATGAAACTGGTGCTGAAGGCTATGTGGATCTTCTTGAATGCTTTGTATGGCCACAAGGTACTTATGATGTACCACAAAATGCCACTGTAAGAAATCACAGAGTTCTGACGTTTTTCATTAGGCAGTACCTAATAATAAATCGTAGACAAAGCAGAATCAGCTTCCTAATCAGGCCTACTGATTGTGTTCTCCCATCACAGCAGGACATGAATGTGTGAGTAGGAGAGAGCCTTATAGATCGTGTACATTTGCAGTCAGTGACACTGAAGTGATTTCTTCCAGGATGTAAGGTGACTCTGAGTCAGAGTTTCTTAACTTGCCATCACTAAAAGGTGATGTGGCACTAACAGTATGGCTCCAATCTGTACACTTGTATTTGCAGATGGGCTGTGGATACGTAGATATTTTTACTTTTTTTTCTCTAATGATCATGCACTTGTTGAAGGTGCGGTGTCATTCAATGATGCATTTAGTTTCAGGAAAAACAAGTGAAATGACACATATCATGTTTACATTTATAAATTATTTAACAAAAATGTATTAAAACATCTGTGGATCTTAACAATTAACAGTATTTAATATTATGTCAATGAGTGGAATATTGTATTGATGGGTCTCTACGTAGAGATACATTTGAGACAAAAAATAAGGAACACTTTTTACACAAAGAGTCATATGGGTCTTCAATAAGGAACCCAGCTAAGCAGTTGAAATTGACACTTAGGGATCTGTCAAGAATTGGATGAAAAGATTTTGGGATCGATTAGTAATCAGACATGTAGGATGGGATGAGTAGCCAAGTTTTCTTTCTTCTTTCTGCCTTTGAAGTAGAAGACCACAGACTATTCTGAACTCTGAAAGATCCCACAGGTTTAACCACTTTGGCTTTCAATACTACAGTTCTCATGTAGATTAGACATATATTTAGAAGAGTTCTGCTTCATTTGTGTTTTTATAGACCACTAGTCAAACTGATATGCCATTTGATATGCCTAATGGTTTTTGTGACTGAGTAATGCAGAGCAATCAAATCCTTTATTACCAGCAGGATGCCAAAGACCCAATGGAAGACATAACTTTAATAATGAGAACCTTTTCAGGTTGCATAGTCTAGGGCTGGTATTTTACAGCAGCGTTAAAAGTGACCATAAATGTCAGTCAAATCCGTTGCAACAATTCTGTTATGCTTTACTTGCATAGAGTGCAGAGTGCAGGAGATAAGACATACAGGAAAATGACATAGCGAAAGAGAATTTTTCATTAACATACCAAGTCCATTGTTACAGAGCTGCATGTGCAGAAAGATCTCAGGTCCTTCGTGGTGTCTTCCTGCAGTACTTCTCTCTACCTGGAGGTCCTGAGCTTTTCAGTCTCAGCTGAAACTACATTCTGTTAGGAACCTTTATGAATAAGTACACCTGCAATGTCATTTGCACAAAGGGTTGTAAAGGATGATGCATGTCATACATACATACAAAGTAGTTATGATAGTATTTAATAGTCCCATTAATGTAAAGCAAGATAGAGCTTATGGAACCTTCCAGTTATTAAACTGGTTCTGAAGAGATAACGTTCTAAAGTTCATCATTTTGCACTGTCTGTGGTCACTTGAATCTATTGTAATTTAAAGTACCGGTGACAACACTCAAATTGCAGTGCTTCCACTTGTGCTTCAAAATATGTTTGTTTGTTCAAGCTGATGCCTTTAAAAAAAACATTTTTAACATGATGCGTGTCATGATATTTCTATGATTACACAACTGTTTGTGAAAATCCTTTAATGTTTACTCTGTGCAATGCATTTTAACAAATGTTTTTTTTCTTCTTTTGAACAGGTATCTCCACACCTACAACCAATGCAACAAATTTGAAATTCTGCGATATGCTAGAGAGCATATCATTTGAATGCCATAATCATTCATATATATACAGTATAAAACAACAGCCTCAAACTAAAAGGAATTCAGATGTTTTAGGCTTCAGGTACTGTTAAAGTGATCCACCATTTTGTGAATTTTGGGGGGGGGGGATTTGAAGGAATGTCTTGAAATTTGAAGGGTACTGCTTTTTAAGTGTATAATTTTGAAATTAACATCAGTGTCAAACCATTCAGCTCATTAAGTGTCCTTCTCAAAAAAAGGGCCCCATTCCTTTGATGAAATAAATTTTTCTGCACTATCTTCTATCTGCACTATCTTCAATATCCTTGTCAAAACAGTGTAAGGGCTTGTTTTTAAAATAACCGAACAGAAGGCTAATGTCAATGCAAACATTTTTATATCATCAGTACAAATATTTACGATAATAAGTACGGCCTTGCTCGTTTGTTATTTAATGCTTTTCAGCTCTTATGTTTTTGTACAAAACAATAAAGATAAACCCTGTTGTCAAAAAATATTTGTCTTTTGAATTAAACCCAGGTTTTGAAAAGATGTGGAGTCACATTTTTTTCCATTAATCAAAAAGTAAAATGAAAATTTGCTTCATCCTCTGTCACATGGATTGTACTCTAAATGTATTCATACCATTGGTTCAATGTAACCGAAAGATGGTTTTACCAAATAAAAAGTTGTATAAATTCACAAGTTGTTGCATGAATAAATGTAAAAATGAAACAATTGTAAGACTATCTGTGTTGGATACTGGAAAAAAAAAACAAATCTTGTTTTATATCTGTAAAATAAATGTATATTCTTCTGTATACTAACTTTCACACCCTGTAAATTGGTGAAAAATACATGCTAAAAATATATAGTATTCATCTTGGGAAAAGTTTAATCTTTATGGGAAAAATCATAGAATTGAATCCATAAGCTGGATGATAGCCATTAGAAATCACAAAATGTTGAATAACATGCAATAAGCTTTACCAGTATGTGCAGTAGAAAAAGAGTTTCTGGAAGCAAAATCAAGCACAATGGTGAGAAATGGTGAGCTTTAAGAACTGGTCTTCAAAACTGTCATATAATGTTGACTGCATTACTGTGGTTTCCATGGCAAAGCGTCACAGACGTTTTTATTGAACAAAACACAAAGAGATATGACTTTGCCAAGTAATTCCTCACTGATGACTGGAAACGTGCCAGGCTCACACAGGTTTACTGCCCTTCTCTTCTACAGAGCGACGTGAAGGAAGAATAGTTAGAAAGACAGAGAGAGGGATGCAGACAGCTGCCGGACGCACAAGCAGAAAGAGATACTGTCGAATAGATACTTCCCCCCTGTTTTATAGTAGAGGAAGAGGAAAGAGTGAAGGGGAAAGGAGATGATCCACTGCCAGGGGTATGAAATGCTACTCAGCCCCCACCCTCAGAACCCTCACCCCCAAGGGAGGCTTTAAAATTCCGGAGTTGAACTGTCTGCCTACTGAAACCCAGAGAGCAACAAGGATCTGGTCTTGAGGAGGACTTGACATGCAGTGGGCTGCTGGGTTCACAGCGAAGGGAGAGAAAGAGGAAAGAGTGAACCTAGTAAAGGGGAGAAGGCAGAGGTCATGGAACAGTCCAACCCTGGGAGGGTTTTGCAACCCAAAACACACTTCCTGGTCTACTGCCAAATGATTAAGGAACTTAAAATCTCCCTGATTCCCTATTACATTTTCATACTCCAAACCAGTAGAATCGCTGTGGTACAGTATAAACAAAGGAAAGCAGTTTAGCCCCAAGTTGCATGAGAAGTTTGACGAGGCAGAATGGTCACAATGCACTCCTGCACTGTGCTCAAACCCAAAAATTGCTGCACTGTGATATTAAAGCCAAAGCAGGATGCAATTAATACCGAATGTACTTACATTGTTTTGCTAAAACCAACTTTCAGTTACTTACTGTAGTAACAAAGGTGACAATAAATCACATTTAGTGCCAACTGTATCTTGAACCGAAGACCCATAGATATGTTTTGTATTTTTTCTCTGTTGTTCTTTTAATGAGTTGTTGCATGAACAATATGTAACTGCTATTTTTTAACCAAAAAGTGTCACACATTATCATCCAGTTCAAGTGGAAAGTTAGAATAAGTCGAACAAAACACACCTACTAAGAGCAATGTATAAAACAGCAGAATATACAGTAACAGTATAATAATATACAATTTGGTCATATTCAGCTCTTTTCATGCGAAGCACACATTTCCAAAAACAGCTATCACTTTTTTGTAGTGATTGTCTTGTAAGTGTTGTTCCCTAAATAATGGTAATTTTTTATAACAAGTATTTAACTGTTTTCTTTTTGATCTTTCAGCAGCCTTTGACACTTTAAGTCATCGTATTACATTTACTGAAATCCCAAGCACTACTGCCTATACTAACCTTAAATCAATATTGGTACTACACACTTATTTTTCTGTTCGGGTCGGTCCATCCCATATTGCTTGGGTGCCTTCTGTTGTACCCCAAGTATCTATCTTAGGCTCCTTATGCATCTTCCTGGGAAGTCACATCAAGGTCGGATCACTGTGAAACTCTCCTCAAAGTCTTCCAAACACCGCTGTTCTGATTTCAAGTTGTTAAAAAACTTGTACCGGAGAATGTGACTTACTGAGGTATCAAATGTCAACAGTGGTTGGTCTATTCTAACTTACAGAATAGAATACAAAAACATATTTATTAATTTCAAAGCTATGCATGATGCACCATTATATCTCTCTAAAGCTGTTCAAGGTTTGTGCCAAATGGAGAACATAGGTTTTATCCATGGTGATATGGTTTGTGTACCCCTTGCGGTGCTCATACATTAGTCCCACTGCTAAGCTATGAAATACCATCCCCAAAGACATCAGGAGCAATAAAGAATACATACTCAATCCCAGGAGAATTATTCAGTTCACAGTACATGAGCCCAAAGGGAAAATCTTGCATTGTTAGGGGTTGGGAATCATGGAGCTGTGACAGTGTTGATTTAAGCTGTCCAGGTGTTAGGTGTTCTAACATTATTATGATTTCCCTGATGCTTTGGAATCAAAATTTGATTAAGTAAGGTATTAGTTGGCCACATGATGTATACTTCCACACTTAATTGAATACAGGGATGGAATATTCTAAATATTTTGATTTCCTGTTACTATGTCATATAAAATATTTCAACACTTTGCCATGAGTGTAAAATGTAGAAAAATTGCATCTTTTCAGTCTGTGTTACACTGCATGTGCTACTTTGTCCGGAGGATGTTTTTTCGATAAGCATACTGTATACTGTACAGTATATTGGAGTCAAAGTTGGTATGCTGCCAGAAATGTATTAAATATAATATATATTGACTGTTAAAGTATGTGATATCTCTTTTAAGATTATTGTGCACTCATTTATTGTAGCACATTGTAACAAAATGATGTGGCAGTGAATTAACTAAATTAAGATATGGAGTGTAAATGCTTTTTGCCTGTATTGAACTTCAGGGCATTAAACAATTAAAATCACAGATCCCGGCTGATTTCAAATGATAGCACTGCCAAACGCTAGAGGCTTTTTCTGGGAGAGCATGGATGGGTTAATGAATACAGAATGTAACTCCAACACACTAAAAGGCAAATGAAAGTGCTTTTTAATATTTTTCTACCAGATTTTCTACCACATTTATTCAGTTGCTTAGAGTAAGAGCAGAATCACTTCCATTTCAGGAGGTTGTCTTCAACTTCTGGCACAGAACTGTTGCACTCTATTGAGTTTTGGAATTAAAGGCTGCCATCTTTTGCCAGTAAGATGCGATTCTTACAGTAAGTACATTAAAAATTATGTTTTTGATAGAAAGCAAATAACCCACATTTGGTGGTATGTATTTGTCATTTTTGCAGAGGAATTTAAACAAACAAACAAACAAACAAACAAACAAACAAAATAAGAGTAGGGTCCAGTGTTTTTTTTGTGTAAGTACTCCATGTGTTTCCTTTCAGCTTTATAGAGATCTTTACAAGGACCTATTGCAATGATTATGAGGGGCAGGTTGTTGGCATTATTGAGCAACATTTTTTCCCATCACATAGACCAGCAAATGGCTCAGTGCAGCAAGTCTGAGTGAACCATCTCTTTCTGCCATTCTGGGACTATGCCATTTTGGACCATTTCTGATATTGCTCAGAAATCATAGAGTTTATGTGAGCATTTTAATTGTTGTTGTAAGCAGTTTGGGAAATGTTAGCTAAAGGGTTCATTCTAATCCAGATATGCAATATACTGTACACATACTGTATAAAGAATTATTGTAGCTCACCCCTTGTTGAAAACTAATTTATTGCCATCATCACTGTCATAACTAAATAGCTGTTTTGGATAATTACATGGGCGGCACAGTTTTAACAGGAGCTCTGGAGCTTTAGGCTGAAGTCCTGGAGTGCTATCTGAAGTAGAGTTTGTATGTTCTCCCCATGTTTGCATGGGTATCCTCACACAGACCAAAGGTAAACATTCTAAATCAAGAGAATAACAGCAAGAAGTTTTAAATGCCACAGCAATTGCTAAATACTATACAGATTTTAGAGTTTGCAATGACATCCAGACACCTTATAAAGGTAGATACAGTATGAATATTCTGCAACAAGAAGTCATCAAGCAAAATTTGTTATTTTTCACCAACATAACTAATGTCAGTGCTGACTCAAAAGTGTTTTTAAGGCATGCTGAAAGTAGGACTACTTCAGAAGTAACATATTGTTTTCCGGTGTGTATCTGAGAGCATTATATGAATTCCCCAGTGTAAAACAATGGACAAATGAATCATTCAATATGTAGAGATTATAGAACAAAGCCTTTCTGTAATATTCCACTTGCCAAAAGAAACAGACTTAGTGTAATAAAATTAGAATCAGTACATATTGCTTGCATTCTAAAACATTACCAGGTGGCTTCTGAAGATTTAAATCATGGGCTTGTCATCTCAGCTATTATTTTTCTTTGTGCATCTGTTGTAATGCTGTTTTTAGTCTCTAGTGCATTTAAATTGTCGCTCAGTAGAGATGTCTTACTAGAACAACTGTCATTCATTTTTTTAAGTTTTAAGAGATTAGCTTCTCTATCCATTAATCTTTTTCCATGTACTGTACAAGCTTCTGGAAGCTAAATAATAAAAAAAGATCTTAAAATACTCTGCTGTTTTTGGGTGAATTTCGAAGTCCAAACGATCTGTGACACCTCAGTCCAATTTAAGTGCACTTGCTAGAAATTGATGTTTTCTTCACTTTCCCAAAAAAACAATTGAAATTATCCCTTGGTGTTTTTATGCTTAAACATTCTCACAAAGAGCTGCATGTTGAAACAGACCTGAGAACATACAGTAATTCTCCATATTTTGAGGCAAACTCTTCTCATTGTCAAAAGATTACAAAGTACCCATGGGAAATTGAGATGTTTCAAAAATGAGTTCTTACATGCTTTTTTATGGAGCAGTTTTATGTTACAGTAGATGTTTTATGTTCTCTTATTTGTTGTATGCATCTCTATCAATTTAAAGCTCAGGTTCTATTCTTTTTCCTTACCTATAGGCATTTTACATGCTTAGATTCCAAGAATGGGCCATTAGGCATTGCTGACCTCGACACTGGCACATTCTGTTGCCAAGCAGACATTATTGGTTGCCAACACAATCAGTGTGTGTTTTTGAGCTGATACACAGAGACATGGTGTTTAGTG